TAGGGCATGTCACATGCCTAGTTACGGGCTGATTCGAGACAAAAGCTGCCTCGATACTCACGTATCGAGCAGCTTTATATAGTTGTGCGCGATCACGATCACAAGCTAATCACATCGAAGTTGAGGCTTGAGAACACGCTTAGTATCACTGTTTCGCGTCATTTCGGAATTCACGTCGATTCGGGATTGATATGTGTCATTTCTCGATTTTCACCGATCGTGAAATGACCTGGGTCAACTTCGATGCCGATTATGAGAGCACAGCAATTTAATAAACTACTGATAATAATCATGTATTATATAATTTATTAATAACGAAAATAATAATTGCGTATTTTATCAATGACGATAATAATTAGTTTTTACTATGCATTACTGTATATAAATAAATAAAAATATTCTGCATGAATATTTTAAAATATTATAAGTAGTCAAAATACTGTTTTGATGAAGATTTTTTGCAAATGCCATCCCAGCTATAGAACCAATTTGATTATCTGAAATGTCTAAAAGTTTTAGAGTAATGTTCTTATAAAGTGCCTTAGCAATTTCTTTTCCTCCTTTAGAGTCTAATAAATTACCTGAAAGATATAAATGTGATAGAGTATCATTTTTACAAAGCGCCACCACTAATACTTCACCAACATCAGGACCGAGACAATTTGTACTAAGATTCAATGAGGTTAGAGCGTTATTTTCATAAAGTGATTTTCCCTCCGTTAAGACCAAGTTGAGTACCATAAATATTCAGACTATTTAATGTAGTATTTTTCAAAGAATTGCCGCTAATAACTGAATCTAATTGACTACCTGAAAGATCTAAATCAGCTAACATAATATCCTTATTAAGAGTTGTTACTAATGCTTTTAATTCCTCAGAGTTAGATTTATTAAATAATTTTAAGGAAGTCAGAGTTGAACATTTATTGAGAATATTTGTTAAATTTACTTGTACATCATAAATTGTTAAACATTGTCTCAATATTAATAAATGTAGTGTAGGATGTATATTCGAATAATGGACTCGAATCATTTAGAAGAGTTATGTTTAGAGACGGGTTTCATGCGTGAGCATGATTGCGGAATCATGCGCATTTTATCCCATCAAGATTTCTCTCCTCTCGATCGTTTTTTCTTTTTTTTTCCTTTTTTTTATCATGCGATATCATGCGCATGAAACATTTCGTGCGCATTAATGCGCATTTTCCCCATCACTAGTTATGTTAAATATATTAACTGAGCTTGTTCTTCAGCGTTTAATGCTAAAAGATATGTTCATGTAAGTTTTTTGTTTCTAAAAATAAGTATTATATTGGTACAGCAGTTCTACACCATTGACGGTTTGTAAGAAGACATGAAAATAAGCTACTACGGTAATCTTTAAGATGATTAAATATTTCAATTAAACATTCATTTGGCAACGCTATAATTTTGCAAATTAAAAGTTTTAACGTTAACATTGTACTATTTATATAACGTTTCGGAGTTTAACGATTGAATTTATCTATATACAGAAAGAGATAGAACACAGCCGATCGTCAAGTGAGTTATAGTTAACCAATAAAAATGAAAACGATATCGATAGTGAACAAAAATAAAGAGGATTAAGTAGATAAGAATAAGAATCTAGTAAATGGCTTGAAGTTATGTGAATGCCCCGGACATATGCTTTTGAAAAATCATAAACATTTTTCAAGAGTCAAAGGTAGAAATTAGTTAAGCCTTGTATTCATTTCATATATTTCGCACAAGATTGTATTGTATGATTTCGCGAGTTATTATAAAATTTTATTTTAGGATATATTTTAACAATTTTTGAATTGGATTATTAAAGGTACAGTAGTTTTAAGCACGTTAATCAGTAACATATCGATATATCAACCAAATTCGTTAAAAGGTGTTACATTGCATATGTGATACACGTATGTACTGTACATACGTAATTGCATCGAAAGACAAAAATAAACGTTACGCAATGCAATAAAGCACATATTTAATATCCTCAATAAATTTAACAAGTCTACGCATTTGCAACATATTCTTACGTTACGTCAAAATGTCAAATTCAAAACAACTAGAAAAAATTGACAACCCATTAAATGTTACTAAAATATCCAGTGAAATTAATCAACTGTTTTTAGAAGATAAGTCTCAGGATTTTCTCAATGAAATTATTAAAGAAATGTATAATTTGTATAATGAAGAAGGTTTTAGAGGCAGACAGTTTCGTTCAATTATTGACGCCCTGGAACAATTTCTCATAAGAAAAAAGCAAAATCCAGATAATATTATTAAATATTGCTTATATAATCAATTAGATCCTATGGCTCAATTCATTCTTGCAACTTGTTATGGGGCTGGTAAATGGGTTAAAAAGGATGAACATAAAGCATTCATTTATTATCAAAAATCTGCTGAGATGGGAGATGCTAGTGGAACACGTCTTGTTGGATTTTGTTATCGTAATGGATTTGGAATTGGAAAGAATGAACATAAAGCCTTCATTTATTATCAAAAAGCTGCAGAGATGGGGTACGCTGATGGAATAAATGATGTTGGATATTGTTACCGAAATGGAATTGGAGTTGAAAAGGATAAACATAAGGCATTTATTTATTATCAAAAATCTGCAGAGATGAAGCTCGCAAAAGGAGCATATAATGTTGCAATCTGTTATCAAAATGAAATTGGAGTCGAAAAGGATGAACGAAAGGCTTTTGAATATTATTTAAAAAGTGCCAGATATGGATTTTGTTGTGGAATGTATCGTATTGGTTGGTGTTATCAGAATGGGATTGGAGTAGAAAAGAATAAAGATTTGGCATTTGAATGGTATTTAAAATCGGCAGTTACTGAACATAAATGTATTTATGATAACGACTATTTCCGTTGGATAGAATACGATAATTTTAGAAATATTGTAGAAGTAGGTAAAGGTGGGTTTTCTGTAGTGTATAAAGCATATATAAGACAATATGGAACGTATGAAGAAGTTGCAATCAAGATGATAAATGATTCATATAAAGATAAACACCTTTTTTTAAATGAGGTATTTTATTTTTTATATCATTTTTTTATTAATTATTAAATATAAGTTAATTAGCATAAATTGAATATTTTTTAGTTAAAAGCGCATCTCGAATTTGGAAAATATAAAGGCATATCAATGGATAAAAATACAGGAAATTTTATATTAGTGTTAAGTTATGCAAAATTTGGTTCATTACGTGACAAGCTTAATGATATATTTAAATCGGAGTGGAAAATTAAGCTTAAAATATTATACGATATCATTAATGATTTATCAAATATCCATTCTAAAAACTTTATGCATCGAAATTTACATCCTGGTAATATTTTATTAAAAGACCGATATGAAGCTTATATTGATTTTGGTTCATCAGTATCGGTTGACGAAAAACAAGATAGTCTCATTTATGGTGTTTTGCCATATTTGGCACCTGAAATCTTGAAAGGTGAACGTTTTACGCAAGCCGCTGATGTCTATAGTTTTGGGATTATTATGATAGAAATATTAATTGGTCAAAAACCTTTCGATGGTTATAATTTTGATGCTGAGTTAGCGGCGATGATTTGTCATGGATTACGACCCGAGTTTAATACAAGGACACCAAAATGTTATGTTCAATTAGCCAAACAATGCACTAATTCAAATATGAAAAAAAGACCTACGGCTGTTGAGATTATTAATAAATTGGAAAATTGGAAAAACATTATAGTTACTAATGATAGTAATGTTAAATCAGATATGAAAAATGAATCTACGGCTTTTGGGATTTTTAACAAATTTAACAAATGGAAAAAATCTATAGTCACCAAACAATGGATTGATTCAGATGAAGAGATCAAACAGCAATTTTTAGAAGCTGATAAATCAATCAAAGAATTGCCAATGGCCTCGCAAAAACATGATAATATGATGTATACTTCTAAACTTATTGATACGAAAGAAGTCGTTTCAGAGGTTGAAAATTTTAGGAGTAGTTGATAATATTGATAACAATTTAATTTCTTAAGATTTTATAAATAACAAGATTAAAGGCAAATTTAATATTAAGAATAGATACCTTATATTAATTATAAAAAATGATTAAAATTTGTTAATAAGACCATGTGAAATTAATTAATTGGTTTTTATAATACGGTCAGGTAAAAATTATAAAAAATATTTATATATATTTTAATAACCAAGTAGATTTTTAAAAAAGATTTATAATAATATTTAAAAAAATTTATATATAATATATATATATATATATAAAGCCAATTAATTAAATTTGTTTGAACTTTTATGTTATGAAAATCAAGAAATTAAATTTATATGACCTAATTATTATATAAGAATTTCTATTCATATACTATTATATATATGAAATTTAACCTTTACCAATAAAACAGCCTTTGTAATTCTAACAAAAAAAATTCTGTGAAATTATAGTATAAAATATACTTTAAACCTTAATCTATAACCCTGATTTAACTTTAAGCAAATTAATTTATATTTTTTCTTGGAATTAGTCATATAAATCTATACAGCCACCAGTCGTGCTCAACACCATATTTGCTATATCTCAAAAACTTACTATCTTAAACATGTCAAGGGTACTAAGCAAAAATATTTAGCACCCAAAACCCTCACCTAACACCTATATTATTGCTATAGTTCAGGTTCTCTAACTCTAAATTTTACTAACAAACTATTAAAACATTTATGTGGTGTTGAACACAACTGGTATGATTTAGTTCTATTGTTAATTTTATTTTTTTATCATAATTTTATTTTTTCTGCGTATACTGCATTCAATATACTTGATTTATACTTCACAAATTTAACAAATCATGATTCAAATCGTGATAAACTCGAGTTATTCGAGTCCTGAATTGACAAGTAAAATTACTATTTTTTTAAAAAAATTATCCATGTCCTATATAAATAGCAAATTAAATTAAGTTTGTGACAAAAATTGTTCTAATAATGATTAGACTCATATCAAATTGTAATTCACGAATTAGATACGGAACACTGGGTAATTGCATTAAATTAATTTATTAGTATCTTATTCGAATTATTTATTCTCTTTACAAAAAATTCAAATACAAGTCATAAAAGCAGATATAGATACCAGGCTAAGTCCCTGAAAAAATCTGCAAAATTATGTAATGAGGTAACTCTTTTTGCATATCATAAATGTGTATAAGGTAGCAGAGAAGACTAAATTCTTAATTCGTTAAGGTTTAGGATAGTTTATGTAGTGTTGGGTTCGGATAACTGCGACTCGGTCGCTCCACAATTCAAAATCTCGCGTAACGTACGATAAGTAACCTTTGCGAAAGAGGGTGTTAGATTTGGCTGGTGTGTGATTAAGGCTTTCGGTTACTTGGATTCAACGGAAGTCAGTAAGGTAAGTCACGTGAACCAGAACTTGAACGAACGACGAAGTTTATAGGTGTTTACAGGGTTTATACTGGGTATAGTGTTAGGGTTTTGTTATGGACGATACAATGTATTGGGACTGGTTATTTAACAATGCAAACTGGACATATCGTCCCTTAGGGCCATTCCGGCCTTTATTTATATTATCTTTCTAGCTATGACTTATTTAATTACATTAATCTTATTCCTCTATTTAATTCGACTCCTCTAATTTATCCACCCAAACCCTTTTACTTAATAAATCCCCCTTCGCCATTAAATCTCCTTTATCTATTAAATCTCACTTCCTTGATTTATTTAATTAATCGCATTAATGCGATGAATTGCCGGGATATCTATATCATGGAATTGATCGTCGTACCCGCTCTCACGTGAGGGCCTGGCAGAGTACTTTCGTCACGTTATTGGATCTAACAGTAGTAAACTTGTTCAACGAAAACTTTTTATTAGAACACAAAAGGTGGTTTCTTATGCCGATTGTTAGACTATGAGCAATTTTTGTCAGAATAAACGTTTGTTTTGAATCTTTCAGGACCAACTTGTACACATTATCAATGTCATTTTTAAAGTGAAGTTAG